TAACATCATTACCCGCCTCTATTTGAGGTCGGCTAATCAAGTCCATAGGTGATCATTTTCTTTCTTTCTTTCTTATATATATATATCGACCCATATCCAAACTCCAAATCCCAGAGTCTACGACCAAAATTCAGATTTCAAATCCATGTTCGTTTCACCGTATCTTTCCTTTCTATAGTCATATTCACCAGGTGGACATATTCATATAATAATATTATTTATCATGCTTGTAGGCAACATTCACATAGAATTAGTATTTGTTTCTTTGCTCGTAGGCAACATTCACATTGCAATAACATTTCTTGCTCATTGGCAATGGTCACACAATAATAATTTTTTTCCTACTTGTTGGTAACTTTCACGCAACAATATTTATACTCCCCATAAGCAATATTCATATAGCAATATTTCTCATGATACATAGTAGTACAAAATACATATAATGTCTATCATATAACTAGCATTACAAGAATTTAAACAATTTAAAGAAGCAAGGGGGCAACCCTTACCTTGAACTTCTGTTGTACTTGCATGTGAGAAGTCAGGTCCCACTCTGTATGCTTCTTCTGCATTTCAGTAGAACATCTTGAATCAGTACTCAAACCCCTTTCTAATTCATTCATCATATCCATTATTTCACATGCCCAATTAGTTTCAAAAACAAGTTCATGAATAAGCTATTTTTAGTCATCACTTTAATTCATTAAATCAACATCCATTCTCACTAATATTAAATGTCCAACCAACTCTTTCTTCTACCTTGGCCGAATATAGGCCTTATTTCTACAATAAATCCTTTTGTATTTATATTCAAGATAACATTATCAATTCTCATCTATATTGGCATCATATAATATGTTCCACATAATTCAAGTCAAATAGTATTACCACATATATTACATGTTCATCAAAATGATCAAAATTATTATTATTATTATTATTATTATTTTGCTAGAAACTATTCATTAAGCACAACAACCAGATGAAAGAACTTTCTTCCTTAATATGGCTACCTGTTAACAATTCTTGATCAAAACTTCTGAAACACTCATGTTAAATTTTCTTTTATTCAATATCAAGCATTGCTGAGCATGTCAAATGCATTAAACCATAACCCTTCCCATGTTGTTTTCTTTTTGTCGAACATGCTTAAGTGAATTATAATGAATTTTCTTCAATTCCTTTTATTATCCACACTAAGCAACATTACCTCACCCAAGCATTTTCATATGTATATAATCATTAATAATTGTCTATCTAGAGATGTTCACATTATGCATATAATTTTATTTGTGCCTCTTGCACATTTTCTTCTTTCAAACTAATACATATACCCACAAGTATATTCTTGTGGTTTCTTACCCCTTTCATTAAAGAATGTACAATAAGATGATATCAATACTTCATACAAGGTTATTCCAAGCAATCATTTCTATTTTTCAAACAACATTCACCAAATCAGAATTTCTCCCTTGAATTTCTTCTTTTGGCCGAAACTTGTGCTCCATGTCCTTATCAATTCATTCATTTAAATCACATAATTTTCTTCATTTACAATATATGTTATCATACATAAAACATATACCAATCTCTCAAACAAGGAATTATAAGGGATTCAACATTTATTCATACAATTTCTAAGAACATTAACACTTTTAACTTCTGTTCCAGCCCTATTTTCCTTAAATATTTGTTCAAGATCATGAATCATTGAAATATATCTTCAATTTTCTCCTCCCCCCTTCAAGTCTCCTTATGACTAGCCCTAATCTACGGTTTTCTTCTTAGTTTACATCAAATTTTTCTTACTATACATTCTTTGAAACTTGTTCTTTCCTTTATAAAAATTCTCATTCACAATATTAGTTTTCAAAACATTAATATGCACAAAAATCCTTAGTTTTGATTTGGGTTGTTCAACCTTTTCAACAAAGCTCACTCAAGACAACAATGGACACTGAAGGGTTGCTCTTACCATATGAATTAAGCAAGGATTAAGGATGATTTTTCACAACTGTATACATGTTCTTCTTGTTCTCTTCCTTGGTTGATTCTTCTCCCTCTCTTTCTGCCTTTAGCCGTGAATCTCTCTCTCTCTACATCTCTATTTTGTGGCCTTTCTCCTCACTTTCACTCCTCATTCACTCTAGCATTTTATGGATGAAATGCAGGAGAACATTTTGCTGGAAATTTTGTAAAAGAGGGGGTTGCTAGGGGCTATTTTGGCCGGTAGTAATAGGAGAGGTAAAGTCATCCTCTTTTCACCCAACTACTTCTACTCCCTTATAAATGAAGTTAAGTCTTGTTTGGTTTGGTCCTATTTTTTTTTAAGGTTGGTTATCTCATTCATTTTAGGTTGATAATCGGGTTAAATCTCTCCTTACATGCTCTTTTCAAAACTCACTCATTTCACTCTTATTATTATTTTACTCTTTCTTACATATATTATTCACATTTATTGAATGTTACCAAGTTGATGTTGGGTGAAACTTTTTAATGGGTTTCATGTCGGGTTTTATAAAAGAAACCTTCATCCCTTGAAACTCATCTCCATTCTCACTAATATTATAAATTTTAATTCAAAATTTGTAATGTCCATTACAATTTTCACCATACTTTTTGACACGACCAAAATATTGATATTTTCTCTCAAGTGTAGGAGTGTCGAAGTAATAAATAACCTAGCAAAACCGGAGTCGAACTACAGAGAAGTTAATTGTATAAATTATAGATGACAATAATACAACAACAATAACAATAACAACA